GTGTTTTGTGCATTTTTGACTTCGAAATGGGCTTCGCGCCACAACGGCGTGCAATCTTTCATCTCTCATCTGGCCAGATGGCTCCGCACCCGCCGCTTTAGCGAGCCTACTTTTCGACCCTCCGGAGCCACAAATCATTGGAAAAACACAGTGTTTCGCGACTTTCCTACCTTTTCGCGCACCTGTATCTTCTTTCTTTTGAGACTTTCTCTGTTTTGATCTTCTTTCTTCTTCTCTTCTCTTCTCTGACTCTTCCCATCTCTGCTTTTCGTCTGTCCATATTGTCGGAAGTTTGACTTCTAAACTTCCTTCGACTATTGCTACCGGGAACTGCAAAACGCTGCAAACTCAGTTTGGAACCCGCGGTCGATTCAGGTTCCTCCTTGCTCAAGTCCACACCATCCTCGATATCTTGCGCTCATGCGAGCTCAAGGCTTCATCAAGATGCACGGAGCGAAACCATCTCACCCTCCTTATCTCAGAGCAAAAGCATGCAACACAGAATGCAGACCAAAGCACTGAGAGTCCCATTTTTGCATTCAAATAGCGCTGAGCCGCTTGCAGACCTCAGACTTTATCTGCGGCTGATGCAAAGGCGTATCTTTTCCGCCAATCAGAGTTTTTTGAGCCTTCCCTCCCAGTCTGTCCGCTTGACTTCTCATCACGCTACCTCTCTCTCTCTCTCTAATGCGTCTCTCCACCCTCATGCACGCGAATAGTTTTGGAGCTCGTTTTCCTGGGAGGTTTGCAGTTGTTACGTTGCGGAGTTGCACGACAGTTAGAAAGGATTTGATGCTTGCTGCCGAAAAAGAAACCTCAACCTGGTTGACACAGCAAAGGGAAGCGCTACTGAATGTTCATGGATTGAGTGCTGATGCTGGGAATGGTGAGAAAAGGTAAAGAACACGCTGCTTCCAGCAACAGTGTTTTAGCGGAGCTTTCAAAACGTGGCTGCAGAAAGGTCTCCCTTTCAAGTGCTTGAGAATCGCCAGCATTTCCTTCTTTCTTCCTATGGCAATTTCGGCATATTTTTGGTCTCAGCTTGCTTGCAATGGTGATTGAAGCTTTAAAAATGCTGATGGTCGCTGATCCAGCCAACCCAGGAATTTTGGAATCCTTGAAGCTCCTAGTATATAGGGAGGACAAATCCAGGAGAATCCTTTTGGATCGTTTCTGGAATGGTGGAGGAAGCTTGGAAGATCAGCTAGAGTCTAGAGTCAAGGACATGGATCTGATCAAAAGTCTCAGTAGACCTCAGGTTTGCAAGATTGTTAAGAGAGAAGAGCACAGCGACCACCAAGAGATTCACAGAAAAAATAACAGCAGAAGGAAAATGATATGAAGAGACCATGTTTCATGTTTGCGTATCTTCGCACATCTAAGTTGTTGGAGACCTTGCTTTCCTTTGTTTGGGAACTTTGCATTCGAATTTGTTTGGTGTCTTTGGACCCCTTCTTCTTGGGAATCTTTTGTTTAAGAACCCTCCAGTTGCGCTTGGGAACCTTGTTCTCAGGCACTCTCTTGAAAATGCTATCTGTGAAGGCCCTACATGTGAGGACCTTTACTTTTGGGAAAAAGATGGTCTTGCCGAATGTTGTGTAAACTTTGCTCTGGGATGCTCTGGGAACCTATTCAACACTGTTCAACCTGCTTCCTTACAATAGCTTGGCCTCGGAAGGCCTGGGAACTTTGCCGGAAGTTGGTTTTTAGGCCCCGGATCTGCTCCAGGACCTTCATTGCACTGCACAAGACATGCAGCATTTGCTGTTGGGCTGAAGTTTCTACACCAAAAACACACCTTTGTGGTCAGCTTTAAAGTCCGTACACTCTAGACCCTGTACACACCGTAGACACCGAGTTTCTTCACTTCTTTCTCTCTTGGATGCAAACGCTGTTCGGCCAGGCGCTTCTTCTCGAGGCGCTCCTAGAGGTGGTGCCCAGTGGTGCCCAGTGGTGCCCAGTGGTGCTCAGTGGTGCCCAGCCCAGTGCCCAGCCCAGTGCCCAAGCTGCTGAAGCACCGGAGAGCCCAGCCTTCTCTGCAATCTCATCTTCAGCTTCTCGTTTGCGTATTTTGTCCTGCCAGGATTCCAGGATGTTACGTTAACTCCGTTTTCTTGTTCTTGTACACCATCTGACCATACCCTACCTTCGAGCCGTTATGCCCATGATGCCAAACACAATAAACAAGACATGTTTTATCAGCTGTACTGGCATGGATCAGTTGGTGTCACCAGTACAAACGAGGTGAGCAGAACCAACATCAAGAGATGGATTGATGACCTCTGCTTTGCAGGTTTACAGTGCTGTGTCTTGCCTCTATTTCAGTCATGCGTTGCTTTGCATCAGCTAGATCTGCCCGTACTTGCACTTGACGAACTTCAGCCTTCCAGACATGAGTCTCCAAAATATCCTGGTGACAACCAGGTAGAAACCCAGGATATATTCAAGTCTCACCCTGCCTTTTCTGCAATTTCCTGGATTGCCTTGAAACCGAAGATGTCATCTGGCACAGGGCAAGGACTTGTCCACAGCATGCAGCAACTATCTTCAGCTGCCTCCAGTATACCAGGCCCCTTTTCTACAGTAGCCTCCCTTGAATCGGTGCAGTTCAAAAGGTCACGCTCCCCTTGGAAAAACTGGATATTTTTGGGCCAAACATGTGCAACCTCAACGCAATGCATTTTCGACAGTTGGTACATGCATCCATCAGTGCAGTTGATTCCAGGCATTTGCTGAGATGCGCAGCTTTCCCATCCCGTTCTGATCGTGCCGCGTTTGATTGTCTCGTTCGAAACCAGTTGCACTAGAACGGTCGTTCAGCTTTTGATCTGTATGCAAATGACACGGACAAGAGTGGAGAAAGAGTGCGCAGAGCTGAGAAACAGTGCAGAGATTGGAGAAAGAGTGTGAAGAGCAGAGAAAGAGCGGTAAACCGTATCCGAAGGGGGATTCTAACTGTTCAACACATTTTGGACACTGATCAGTGTGTGAGAGGTCTCTTCCAGCTGACTAATCATCCTGGGAGAGCAAAAGGGCGAAAGGGGTTGGAAATGAAAAGAATCGGACATTGTCCGCAACTGAGCAACCCTGCAACCCTCAGAAAAAATGTATTCGTCAAGGGATCTGTCAGAGGCCACATCTCCAATCACAACAAATCACTACACAACATGGTCATCTTGGTTTCATGCTGAAATATAGCCCATGGATGCAGAATGCCCATGGTACCGAGCGCATCTATTGAGGGAGCTTCATCAGCAGAAAAATGGTTTGCATCTATAGATTCTAAACCATCGCCACCGCAAGGCCTAAATGCTTCCTTGGAGTTAGTGCACATTTAGACAAAACACCTCACGCCGTGCAGGGTTCATCCCTGTCGTTGTCAACGGCCTGGTCTTTCATGTCTTGTCCGCGCAAGCAGCGCTTGAAGATCCCCAAGAGGCTCAGGCAAAGAAACTGCACAAGCGAGCAATTTTGACTTTCAACTTCTGTACAAAGACAAAAAGCATAGAAACTGACGTGATTGTATTTCAGCCAGCTACCTGTGAAGTCGATTCTCTCTTGCCAAATCTCCAAGTCTGTCCATACCTTGAGACAGGATTTGTGTCAACTTGGCATTACGAGGCAAAGGCACTCCCTGCAACATCCTGAAGCAATCTTTGCCATACTGCATAGATACTTCCATCACCCTTGCTTCTCGTCTAAGGCAAGTTGATGTCTGTTAAGTTAAGCTTGCCTGTGAAGAATGTTGACAGATCCACTATTGTCAGGTCTGAAAACTTGTTGAAGATATGACTGACGTCCAAAAACCTAGGTCGGGGCACGAGCTCAGCCCATTGATGGCGGGCATCGTTCCGCAGTCCTTGAAGCTTCTCTATCTCCAAATCCCGCAACCGCTGCCTTGACACTCTGAGATTCAAAAAGTATCTTTTCGTATGCTGTTTCGCAGATCCTTTAACAATCCATTGCAGCAGAAGCACAGAAGCATTGTTCCAAACAACAAAACAAAGGCCTTACAAAAGCTTGGGACACATGCCTCAAGGCCTGCAATAGAACAAAACTTATTCAAAGTTGGCTCTCCTCCCAGGCCTCTCTTTGGCTCCAGCATACCACTCAGGTGAAAAGGGCGGTTCCCCGTGAGTAAGTCTGTCAGGTACCTCTTACAAGTCTTACAAGCCAGCAGTGCATGAGATTGAAGACTTGACACAGTTAGTACTAAAATGAGGTCTCGACTCTACTTTGCACTCTTCTGGCCCTTGAAAAAACCAACTGTTCAACATAGGTTTGCTTGATTTGAAATTGGCGAACTCCTGCAGCTTCGAAGAGACTCTCTAGGTCTGGAGGAGCCTGGGCATCTCAAGATACGGACATACATCTGTGGCAGCTGAAGGACGATTGCTCCCGGCACGATCAGGAAAGGTAAGGCATTGAAGTTCAATTCAAATTCAAAGGCCTTGCTTTTTTTGGAATTCCTCGCGCCTCTGGCTCTTTTGGCTTTTGACCATACACCCACCCTTCCTCCACGGGCAGGCGGTCCACCATGGCAAAGACAGCACACGACGGCACACAGCCTTCCACTGCCGGCACTTTACGCTTGGGACCTTGGGCTTGGGACTTGTTTTGCGCAATGCCATCCGCCACCGAAAAACCAGTGACCAGAAAGACTAGAAATCAAGGCCGAAGATGGCCGCTGTCTGCAAAAATAAGCTCGGACTTCGTAGAATCCACCTGTTTCTGGAGATCCTAATGTTGCCGTAATCTATGGTACAGGTATGGTGGAACTTGAGCCGTTGCAGCGGCTGATCCCATTGCACGCACCGCAGAGCTGAACTGAGAAAAGAAACTCCGAAGCGCTCAGTTGGCAAAGGGTGCCTGCGTTTCTTTCACAAACGACATGATACATTCAGGTCCATGCAAGCTGCGCCTTTGACACAGGCATTGCCAGAACTATTTAAGACCCTACCAAACTACCAAGCGTGCTTTCCATTTGGGTCTGAACTGAACTCATCTCACCTCCTGCATGTGTGCGAAACTGCGAAACAATGCTGTAGTCCCCATATCTACGAAGGGATCTCTGTGTGCTTGGGCCTTTCTTTTGGGTGAAACATGACCGGCAGCAATTCTGCCTGGTCGTGCCATCTAAAAAATAGCACATGATCAAGCAGCTACACGAATTATATCAGCCAAGAATGATCTGACTCCTTGCAAAACAACGAGCAGCTTAAAGAGAGCTCACAAAGTCTGATGTTTGCAGCAAGACTTGACTCAAAACAAAACTTCTCAAGCCCAAGCACCCAATTGGAGAGAAAGACCTAAGCTTCCTGCGAGTTTCCATTGCGTGGAATTTCCTTCAGAAAAACTTTGAAGCGCTCAGAATCATTTGTCACAAGGTGCATGGATTGTACAAAAAGCTGCTAGAAATCAGTGCAAAATACATTCTTTGCGTACCCAATCAGGTTCGGGTGGAAGAGCATGAAGGTGAGCAAAGTTGTCTGCAACACCACACCTTGAGCACACTGCTAAAGAAAGACATCCTACTTCATTTCGGAAGGATTCTGAAGGCAGATGCTGTGTTGTTGCTTGGAATCACTCCACGTTGGATCGCCAATGATCGCCAATTGCGGTCACTACCAAATTACCCCCCAAATGATGCATCCCACACTCGAATTGTGAGATTTCCTCCCCTGCTGGTTGAACACTCTCCAAGACAGGGCATCGGCGAGCGAGCCCTTGTGCGAGAAACACCGCTCCTGGCAAAGAAGGACCGGGTACACCCCGAGTACATTCTGATTCAGCGCCCACCAAATCGAAACTTTTGAGACATTCTTTGCAAACCTAGAGCAAGCACTCTCAAAAAGCCCCACCTGCCGTAACCGATGATTGCAGACTCTTTCACCGTTTCCTGCAACCCTTCGTGGAAAATGTTTGCAGATCTCACCTTCACAGCAAGTGCAGGGCATTCAAGTTGACCAGTGCATTGCTGCTATCAAGGCACACCACCTGTAAACACCGCACCTCCTTCCGAGGTGCTGGATGCTCAAAGAATCTGTGCTTGGAGTTCTTGATTCGGTGTCGTTCCTCTTTGTCATGTTCTACGAAGGTTGCCTGACAAATCTGACAAGCACCGGCAAACGAAGGCGAGCACTGGCAAGCAGCAATACTCCACAGCGCCATCAGCACATGTCGGATGACACGTCTAACGGATTACTTTCTATTGCGCAGAAGCGAAATCCACAAGCTTGCGCATTTCACTGACCAGTTTCCGGTATCTACTAGGTGCATTGGCGTCTAAGATTGCAACATGGCTACAAAATAACTTTGGCAATGCACTTCCTTGCTCAGCGAGTCCCGCCTGCATGTTTCCGTACGGGTTGACAATTTTCTTTCCCAAATGCTGAAACCTTGATTACACAGGTGCCACACACTGGGTTTCCAATTTAATTGAGAGAGCTCACTGCCAATACCCCTTGCAACTCAGAACCCAGCTCACACTCTCGTCCAGTTCCTTCACCAGTCAAAATGTTAAAAGTACACCTGAATACTTGCAGCGGTCAGACATCCACCAGAAAGGGCGAGCAAACAGGATGGCAAATTCTTCTGTCACAATCAAAAAGTCCAAATATTCCAAGAAATTCTACTTCGCAAGACAAGTTCATAGAGGCCGAGAACCAACTCCACTAAAAAGGCACCACTCAAGGGTTTCTAGTAACTACTTGTACTGTGTGTGTGCTGGTTGTGTTCACTTTTGACTTTTGAGGTTACAACTTTTCGCGGAATTGCCGCGCTGCTGCGACTTGTCCAGCCACTCTCTCCTTCCAACAAGAACTCGATGTTCAAGTTTGACATTTAACTTTAGCTAGGTTCAAGATAGGTGGTAGAGGCCTTAAGTAAGATCCAAACATGTCTCGTACGTACGGCTGGTAGGTTTGGTTTTCTTGGTACGGTACGGTTGGTACATGTGGTACGGTACGGTTGGTACGGTTGGTACGCTTAGTAAGGTACGTTTGGTACGCTTACCAACCGTACCGACCGTACCAGTGAACCGTACATAACCGTACCACCGTACCGTACCAGATTAAGGGAGGGGTCAAGGGGGGGGCGTTTTGGATGTAACAATACTACTTTAGTATTGGTACATCCAAAACGCCCCCCCCTTGACCCCCCCCTTAATCTGGTACGGTACGGTGGTACGGTTATGTACGGTTCACTGGTACGGTCGGTACGGTCGGTACGGTTGGTAAGCGTACCAAACGTACCTTACTAAGCGTACCAAGCGTACCTACCCAAAGCGTACCAAGCGTACCAGGCGCACCAAGCGCACCAAGCGTAGCGTACCTATCTTATAGCTGGATATCAAGCACCTATCTTGAACTTAGATAAATTTAACTCTAGGCAATTCAAGTTAATATTTTCGTTCAATGAGCGTAACCCTGGCATATATAATTAGTTTGGGAATATATATATATATAAGGGTCAAAATATAATGTGCAAGAAGAAATGTACAGTAGACACATGCATGTACATAACGGGTTTGATCGGATTTGCATGTTCTGTACTATATAGATGTATGAATTTATAGATTCATGGATGCACGGATGTGTATATCTGTGCATGTGCGTATGTATGTGTGTGTGTCCAATCAAATGTAGTGTAATGTTAAAGTTATGTGTTGTTTTTTGATATTGTGTTTTAGCATTTGTTTCTTAATCATATTGTGTAGTACTATGTTATATTATGCAATATGTCATATTATAGTATATATCATGTGACATTGTTTCATATCATGTTTGCTTTGTTACATTATGTTTTATTCTGTATCATTATATTTTGTTATGCGTTGTTATGTTTTACTATTTTACTATGTTTTATCATCTATTCTTATGATATATTATGATTTATTATGGTATAATGTGTTACAATATGCTCTGCCATGTTATGTACATATGTATCTATGTGTCTGTGTGTAGGTATGTGTCTGTAGGTATATGCCTGTAGTCATGCATGTGTGAAGGTATATGTGTCTGTGGGTATATGTGTGTCTGGGTATGTATACATATATATATATTTGTGTGTGTGTGTGTTTGTGTGTGGGGGTGTGTCTGTAGAAAGATAGATGCATGTATGCATGCATGAAGGGATGTATGTATATTCATAGATGTGCCTGTGAGTATATATATATATATGTATGTCTGCGCAAATTAATGTATGTGTATGAGTACGTATATGTATATGTATTACAATGTATGTAGTATGCATTACTGTGTATGTATCACTGTATATGTCTCACTGTATATGTCTCACTGTATATGTATTGCTGTATATGTACTGAAGTATATGTAATACTGTATACTGTATATGTATTACTCTACATGTATTCCGGTAAATGTATATAGGTACATGTATATGCATATGTGTATGTGTATGTGTATGCGTATGTATATGTATATGTATATGCATGTATGAACAAAGAAAATTTTATATATATGTATATATATATATACATATATATATAATATGTGCATGTATGTATGTATGTATGTATGTATGTATGTATGTATGTATGTATGTATGTATGTATGTGTATGTGCACCTTCTTTGTGATATTCATTTTTGGTAAAACAATGATGATGGCCTATATTGGATTTAGCTCCCTCAAGGCAGTGGACTATTGTATATGTATAATTGCATATGTATTACGCCATTTCTATATGCATATGTGTATTTACATGAATACATATATAGATATGTGTGTGTATGTAAATGTATGTGTATATGTATGTGTATATGTATGAGTAAATGTGTGTATATATATATGTGTGTGTGTATGTATATGTATTTGTCGAAGGAAGTTTAGAAGTCAAACTTCCGACAATATGGACAGATGAAAAGCCGAGATGGGAAGAGTCAGAGAGAAGAGAAGAGTAGAAGAGAGAAGAAAAGAGAAGAGGAAGAATCAGAAGAAAGAAGATGCAGGTGCGCGAAAAGGTAAGAAAGTCGCGAAACACTGTGTTTTTCCAATGATTTGTGGCTCCGGAGGCTCGAAAAGTACGCTCGCTAAAGCGGCGGGTGCGGAGCCATCTGGCTAGATGAGAGATGAAAAATTGCACGCCGTTGTGGGGCGAAGCACATTTCGAAGTCAAAATGTACAAAACACACCAGCTCCGGACCACTCTTGGAAGTTGCGACGTCGAAAAAGTGCACGCCGTTGTGGTGTGAAGCACATTTCCAAGTCAAAATGTACAAAACACTTCAGCTCCGGAGCACTTTTAGAAGTTGAGATGTCGAAAAAGTGCACGCCGTTGTGGCGCGAAGCACATTTCGAAGTCAAAATGTACAGAACACACCAGGTTCGGACCACTTTTGACGTTCAGAGCTCGTTTCGCGTGGCAGGCGCAAAGGATTGTGCACCTTGTCAAAAGTGGCAAAACGTGAGGGTTTTGTAGCATTTCCAAGAAAGATGGCAGGCGTGAGACATTTGAAGAGGATCTTCAAAGATGCATTTCCCGTGGCAGGCGCAGTACAAAAGACATGTTCATCAGAGATGTTAGGAGGTCAGGGCGCTGATTTCCTGAGAGGGGTTGCATTTTGGAGCATCAGACCTGTAGGTTTGCTAAGATGATTTTGCGTGACAGGTGCACCACTTCGTATGACCCGGTATCAATTTTTCGTGGCACGCGCAGTACTTTAGACACGTGGAGTGGAAAAATCGCAAAACGCATTGGTACAAGGCTGTCAGCTCTGCACTCAACTTTCCATTTTTGAAGGAAGTCGCGCAGAATTCATTTGCTTTTGATGTTGTCAAATTCAAAAATTGAAGAAGTCTCGCAGAATTGCTTCCTTTTGGATGTTGTCAAGTTCAAAAAATGAAGAAGTCTCGCAGAATTGTTTCGTTTTTGATGTTGTCAACTTCGAAAAATGAGGAAGTCTCGCAGAATAGCTTGGTTTTCAAGCTGGCAGATAGACAGGTAGGTAGATAGACAGACAGACAGATAGATAGATAGAACAGATGGATCGATGGCTATCTAGATAGATTAGATAGACAGACAGACAGACAGATAGATATCTAGATAGATAGATTAGATAGATAGATAGATAGATAGATAGATAGATAGATAGAAAGATAGATAGATAGATAGATAGTTAGATAGATAGATAGGTAGAAAGATAGAAAGATAGAAAGATAGAAAGAAAGATAGATAGGTAGATAGATAGATAGAACAGATGGATAGATGCCTATCTAAGTAGATAGATAGATTAGATAGATAGATAGATAGATAGATAGATTAGATAGATAGATAGATAGATAGATAGATTAGATAGATAGATAGATAGATAGATAGGTAGATAGATAGATAGATAGGTAGATAGATAGCAAGAAAGACAGATAGATAGATAGATTAGATAGATAGATTAGGTAGATTAGGTAGATAGATTAGGTAGATAGATAGATAGATAGATAAATAGATAGATAGATAGATAGATTAGATAGATTAGATAGATTAGATAGATTAGATAGATTAGATAGATTAGATAGATTAGATAGATTAGATAGATTAGATAGAATAGATAGATTAGATAGATTAGATAGATAGATTAGATAGATAGGTAGATAGATAGATAGATAGGTAGATAGATAGATAGATAAGTAGATAGATAGGTAGATGGGTAGATAGCTAGAAACACAGTTAGATAGACAGATGAGATAGATAGATGGCTAGATAAAAAAGATGGATAGATGGCTATCTAGATAGATAGATAGATAGGCAGATCGAAAGAAAGATAGATAGATAGATAGACAGGTAGCTAGATAGATAGAGCGATAGATAGATAGATAGCTAGCTAGCTAGCTAGCTAGCGTGATAGATAGATACATAGATACATAGATACATAGATACATACATACATAGATAGACAGATAGATAGGTAGAACAGGTGGATAGGTGGCTATCTAGATAGATAGATTAGATAGATAGATAGAAAGATAGATAGAAAGATAGATAGATAGGTAGATAGATAGATAGAACAGATGGATAGATGGCTATCTAAGTAGATAGATAGATTAGATAGATAGATAGATAGATAGATAGATAGGTAGATAGGTAGATAGGTAGATAGGTAGATAGGTAGATAGGTAGATAGATTAGATAGATTAGATAGATTAGATAGATTAGATAGATTAGATAGATTAGATAGATTAGATAGATTAGATAGATAGATTAGATAGACTAGGTAGATAGATTAGATAGGTAGGTAGATAGATAGATAGGTAGATAGATAGATAGATAAGTAGATAGATAGATAGATAGATAGATAGATAGATTAGATAGATTAGATAGATTAGATAGATTAGACATAGCTTAGCTCCGTTACTATAGACTAGATCGATCTTCATAGATTCGATAGATAGATAGATTAGATACGATTATAAGATTATATATACTTATATCGATTATGACTAGATTCTATCCTTATCTCTATACTCTATCTGCGGACTTAGCTAGCTTAGATAGCTTATACCTAGATTCTTATAGAATAGATAGATTACAGAATAGATTTCTATACTTCAGATATACTTATACTATATTATATCAATTAGCTAGCATTCTATAGGATTAGATCTATTATCTCTCTTATATGGTTAGAGAGATTCTGCTATGTTCTCTCTCTTCTCTCTCTTCTCTCTTTTCTCTCTTTTCTCTATCTCTTTATCTCTATTTACTCTCTTCTATCTCTTTTGCTATATTTTCTAGATTTGATAGATTTGTACGCTTCGCTAGTTCTATCTATTATATAATTAGATAGATTAGATAGATTAGATAGTTTAGATAGTTTAGATAGATTAGATAGATTAGATAGATTAGATAGATTAGATAGATTAGATAGATTAGATAGATTAGATAGAATAGATAGAATAGATAGATTAGATAGATTAGATAGATTAGATAGATTAGATAGATTAGATAGATTAGATAGATTAGATAGATTAGATAGATTAGATAGATTAGATAGATTAGATAAATAGATAAATAGATAGATAGATAGATAGACAGATAGATAGATAGATAAGTCGATAGATAAGTAGATAGATAGATAGATAGATAGATAGATGGATAGATAGATAGATAGATAGGTAGGTAGATAGGTAGATAGGTAGATAGGTAGATAGATAGATAGATTAGATAGATTAGATAAATAGATAGATAGGATAGATTAGATTAGATTAGATTAGATAGATTAGATAGATTAGATAGATTAGATAGATTAGATAGATTAGATAGATTAGATAGATAGATAGATAGATGGATAGATAGATGGATGGATAGATAGATGGATAGATAGATAGATTAGATAGATAGGTAGATAGATAGATAGGTAGATAGATAGATAAGTAGATAGATAGATAGATAGATAGATAGATAGATAGATAGATAGATGGATCGATGGATGGATGGATGGATGGATAGATAGATAGATAGAACAGATGGATAGATGGCTATCTAGATAGATAGATTAGGTAGATCGATAGATAGATCGATTGATCGATCGACCGATCGATCGATAAATAGATACACAGTTAGATAGACAGATGAGATAGATAGATGGCTAGATAGAAAAGATGGATAGATGGCTATCTAGATAGATAGATTAATTAGATAGATAGCTAGATAGACAGACAGACAGAGAGAGAGAGAGAGAGATAGATCGATCGATAGATCGATAGATAGCTAGATCGGTAGGTAGGTAGGTAGATAATCAGAGAAAGCGAGAGAAAGAGAAAGAAAGAGAGAGAAAGAGAGAAGACCTCAACCATTTGTCGTTTCCTATTTTTGAAACTTCCGCCACCGCCTTGTGCAGTACTACTGGTATATGTATCTGTATATGTATGTGAATGTGTGTGTGACGTGTACGTGTATGTGTATGTGTGTGTAGGTGTATCTATAAGTATGTACTTGTATCTATGTGTATGTATGTACAAGTAACATTCATGTGTTTGTACTTTTATGCTTGTATATGTACTTACATGTACGTGTATGTGTGTGTATGTGTGTATGCGTGTGTGTGTGTTTGTATACATATAAATATATGTGTGTTTCTATGACTCTGTGTGTATGTTTGTATGTGTGTGTGTGTGTGGTTGTATTGGAGTATGTATGTGTGTGTATGTATGTGTGTTTGTATGTGTGTATGCGTGTATGTATGTGTGTGTACATTCATGTGTATGTATGCATACGCATGTAAAGGTATTAATATGTATGTCGATGAGTGTGTGCATATGAGCCTCCTTGTATGTGTATGTACATGTACGTATGAATGTATGTATGAATGTATGTATGTATGTATGCATGTATGAGTGAAGGAAAAACAGAATGAATGAATGAATGAATGAACGAACGAACGAACGAATGAATGAATGAATGAAGGAATGAACGAACGAACGAATGAATGAATGAATGAGCGAATGAACGAACGAACGAACGAACGAACGAACGAATGAATGTAACGTATGTGACTATTATATATACATATGTATATCCGTATGCATGCATGTATGTGTATATATATATATACACTTAATATGCATGTATCCATGTATTCATTCATGTTTATAGGTATGTAGGTAGATGTATGTATGTGCGTGTTAATGTATGAATATGTATGTGTGCATGTATGTCTGAATGCATGCATGTAGCAAGGCACGTAGACACATGTACGTACGTACGTACGTACGTACGTATGCTACGTGCGTACTACGTATGTATGTATGTATGTATGTATGTAATGTAATGTAATGTAATGTAATGGAATGGAATGTAATGTAATGTATGTATGTATGTATGTATGTATGTGTGTACGCATATAATATATATATATTATATATAATATAATATAATATAATATAATATAATATAATATATGTATATATATAATATGGATACTTAGGTTGATAGGTAAGTGCAGGTAAGTAGATCCGTATACGTACATATATATATGTATGTAACATGTATCTATCCATGAAGGCATCTGTCTATGCCATAGTCTATGCATCTATCCATGTATCCAATCTATCCATCAACCCTTGGCAAAACATTTTCCCATGTCCAAAGTCTGGTTCACGATATAAGAAAAGAAATCGGCGACCATACATTTCTCAGAGCCGTTTTGTTCTGACCAAACAGAGCAAGGTCAATCTCAATCTCCGTAAGAGTTCATAAGACAATTATATAGATTGCAATTACAATTAAGAGGTCCAAAGAGGCAAGATCTGTGGTCACGGTCACATCGGGTGGTATGGAGTAGTGAGTCGACTTCTTGTCCTAAGAACGTGTGGTGAGACATGAGGTTCCTAAGCGTAGGTGCAGACTCGCCCTTCCCACACCGCATTCGCCGACGCTGGACTGCGCCATCCTCGCGCGCTTGCTCACGTGCCTGGTCAATCAAAACATGAAATGATTCAAACGGAATCAAACTGAATCAAACTTTGGGGTGTCAACTTCAACATGCCGGGAACACTGCTTCATGCTCCAACCGTGCAGCATCCTGCTGAATGTCTGCCCTGACAGCAAAGCAAAGTGGCAAAGCAAGAGAAAGTATTGCCACCAATGTGTGTTTGTACGAAGTGTACTAAGTACTTACCCAACCTCATTAAGTCATGAAAGAAAGAGCAAACTTTACCTTGCACGTGTGTCAAAGAAGTCACTTCGCTCACTAGTTTGGAAAAATTTGGTCAATAGATGCCGTAGCTGGAGAGCATCCTCGGAGCCAGAGACAAATCCAAAACGCGCGGTATACTTTCCATGTGTTTCCATGTGTTTAAAATAAAAACCGTTGTACATCCTTTCATTCTGAAGATATGCTATGAAATAAATTGTACAGTATTTTTTGGGTGGTGCCATTAAAAAAAGAAACAATTTGGGTTTTGACAATTCAGCACTTTGAGAATTAGAGCCTGAACCTTCTGCAATGTCAAATGCAGCGTGATTAAAACTGCGGGCCTGTAAATGGAATAGAGTACAGTAGAGTATGATACTCAGAGTATGTACAGTATTCTGAAAAGAAAAATGACAGTTCAGAATGTGAATGACTAAGGCATGTACATGAAGCGTGGACTGGCTTTTGAGTGCGGTTGGGATTTCAGCGCAGGAGGAAAGAACTTGAATCCATGTTCGAGATTTAAGCATGCCCTCCATTTTCCGATGTCTTATTAGTACACCGTACACCCAAGATCTTACGTGCTGGCCGCCAGTCAGGTGTCCATGCTGCTGCATCAAATTCCTTCTGGAAGGGATAGAAAAGGTGAGGAGTACACAGATCAATTGACCCAGTTTTGCAAACCAACGGCAGTTCCATGGGTTCCAGCCTTGCGGTTCCAGTACGGTTTTTGGGCTCGGCAAAAACGACGCACCACTTGGAGACCCAAAGATTAAAACAGTTTGAAACCCAACAGTCACTGCTGTTGGGAAATACAGTATAGACTTCCGTATCTACGTAGGGCTGAACAGTTGGGAGCACCTCACTAAACGCACTGCAAAGTTCGAACCACTTGATACTTCACTAAATATATGTCCACCCACTGCAGATTCAAGGTGTGTCAGTTTCTGAAGCAAGTTGCCTTAGACAAAATTTGGGTATACACTAGATGTAGTAAGATTTGAAGCAAGTAGCTGTCAAAAATTCAACTACCCTGGATTCAAGTAAGCAGCTAAGTTGTTCCAGGTTTGGTCTATCCATGCCACGGTCGATTTCCGTCCCGAGCTGATACCCCAACCAAAGCAGTGGGAGCAACCCAAAGCAAGGCTCCCAAAGGGGAGTTTGACTTGAACACTGCGATATGCCATGTGAGTCATGTAGTGTTTGTCCCAATTTGTCCACGTAAATTGTTCTTTGTTGTCCGACAAAAGCTGAGAGCCAGACTGATGACGACGATGAAAGCCCTTCCAAGCGATAGAGTGCTGTGTACAAGAAAACATTTCGAACAAGCACGACCAAAGTCTGCTAACCTCACAGTCTGAACTCCCTCAACATGTGTTTCCAACAAATTTGATTTTCTCCATGTTTGAGCAAATACAGTAAGGCAAAAATGAATTTCACCCAATGTTTTTTTCCTTTGAGTTCTGTCGCCCCTGTCCTTGTGAAAACGCGTTTCATTGATGTTGGAGGTAGCAGCAAAGTTCGCTTCCTCATCGATGCGTTCGATTGGCAAATGCCTCGGAATTGCCCATAAGTTGTCAGTACAATTTCAGGTTAAAAAATAACACTCAAGTCCCCTGTCCATTTGATCTATTTGCAACATGTATCATGTGTCAATTCTGAATCAACTCTGAGAGTGTGGCTGAGGTTTTAAGAAATCATACCGCAAATACTCAGGAGTTGCCGCCTTGGTGCAACACATTGCAGCATCATTGTTGAATCTGTTGAAATACTCAAATTGGACAAACATCGCAAGCCAACGTCATTTATGATCTGTCCTATGCATGATCACGACATGGTCGTCCGGCAATTTTGTCTACCCCATGGCAAAATATTCCACCTATTAGTTTGTACCTTCAAAATGCATTTCCTGAGGTTGGAGACATGTGAATTCAAACACCATGCAATCAAAGATAAGACATGCATAACCTCTTACAAATTCAGGGATAGGATCAAACAAATGTATTTGTTTTACTAGTTGGTTACTCCTTGTACGTTGAGGAAATATTTGGTCCGTGAGTTCACATTCCAATATAAATTTGTTTCAAGTTCACATAACCCAAAATAGACACACCCATTGAATTGCAATATGCTGAGATCACAGCATCACATGTGACCGTTTTCTTGGCACTTTTTTTGACACGAACGTTTTCAAAACGTCCCAGAATGCCACCTCGCACAAATTCAGAACAGTGAATTTGGAGACTCACGCTGGCATCAGAAACTTTTCAAAGCAAGATCAAATACAAACACAGCAACACGTGTAAACAAAACGAACAATATATAGGTTGGTATCATTAGTCAAATCTGAACATCTGCCTCCTTGGGGCACCATCTGACGCTCATCTGTCATGTTTCCAAGTCGAAATGATGTTGTTTGATGTCCTACAGCGAGCAAACCATTATTTTTGCCTCTGGTGCAAAAAGAAAATGCAATTTGGAAAAGGAATTTTGCTTGATCTTGGAGAATGGCGGCAGAAACGAACAATACCGTTGAGAAGCAACAATAATAATGAAACCAAGATGTTCAACAATGCATGCCACCCTTCAACATTGAATTCAAGTTCACCACCATGTCGCGGAAACACTTCCGTTCAAAGTACGCAAAAGACTGTCAACGCGTCAAGAAGTAAACAATTGTATAATGCCCACTGGATTTCCATCCGCCATCAGACTGTCTGCAAATTGTTCCACTAAAATATTGGTTTCCCAAACAACTAAACGTGATTGTCAAGAACAACAACGCACGATTTTGAACATTCCGTCCGACCTGCCCGGTTTACACTTGCGTTGCCATTGATGCGGGTATTTAGTAGAGGTGTTGCTCGTGCGTTCTTTTGCGTTGAGAGTTCAATTGATTTAGTTCTATGTTTGTTCATTTTTCGTACATGTGATTGCCTCGTGTAATTTTTTTTTCTGTTCCTGTACTTTGTGCTGTGCATGTGTGTTTGTTCGTTTCACCCAGGTCACTACTTTTCGCCACCGTCCTGTCATTTTTTTTGATTTGCCATAATTTTCGTCGCTGTGTCCTATCTATGGCGATCATGACAACGTACAACATGGAATCTAATTCAGAACACCTTTTGGCAGCCATGCGGTGCCTGCAACCCGAACTTTGGACTCGACCATTCAATGCCGTAAGTCACGTCACACCACCCGTGGGCAAGGCAATGTGTCATCCGTATGTCGGTATTCCTGTTTCACGCATATGTTGCAACTTGCAAGAAAATAAAGAGCTGCGTGACATGAGGAATGTGCAGTTTCGATGGATTCTCCCTGTTATGGGTGTTGTTGACCTGAAGAGAATGTAGAACAGGGAGTCCTTAAAAATGACAACAAAATTTTCACGCATTGTTGTGGGACAGTCTTGGAAGACCACTTTTGTAAGACGCTCTGATGTCACACACCTGTGAAACACTCATGTCTCCCTAACGAGCGGGGGCCAAAACTAAGGGCTACAAAGGTGGCCATGGGCAAAAGTTATCGATTTAGATCGTTCGCTATATCTATTCACATGGTTTTGGAGCATGTCAAACAATGGCTGTTGATTTGGGCATCCATATCCATTCATCCCCACAGAATCAACAATAGAGGCACTCCATGGTCAGCAATCTGCTGTCCACGGTTTGTGTTGAAAGCGCGGAATTACGTGTTGTGTACCACTTGCTGCAGTGTGCATGTGATCATGTGTGTTGACAGTCCAACCCTTCACATGTCCCGTCGACAACGCCGCCGTACATATTTTTTCATGAGTGGGGATAGGTCGACGATTCACGCATGTCGCGTGCTTACCCCAGACTATGGACGGCGTGATTCCAGAACTTTCTGTAATCAACTGGCGTGTTTTGGATACCCATCCAATTGGCCACTCGGCGCCTCGACAGGACGTCGACGGGATTCGACTGGCTCGGCACTCGCTCAAGCCACACAGGACACAATTTACTTTCTTCGACAAAGAGAAGCCTGGCAAACAATTTGCTGCAAGGGTTATTGTGGAACCAGGTCTGAAGGAAGCTGCACCTAACGGCTTCGCTGTCAGTAAAAGCAACCACTCTGTGGCCATGCCAAACTGGACACCAGATTTCTGGTGAAATCAAAAATGCAAGCAGTGCAAGCATCTCCATTTCTTGTATAACATTTGACTGATCCTTCTCTTTGACGACACTTAGCTAAGGCACTTAGCTAAGTGCATCTTAAGCAGTTAGGCTAAGTAGGCTAAGCCACTTAGAGGGCTTAGGGCTAAGCACTTAGGGCCCCTTAGCTAAGTGCTTAGCTAAAGCTTTGCTAAGTGTTTAGCTAAGGCTTAGCTAAGGCTTAGCTAAGGCTTAGCTAAGTGGCCTAAGTTCACTAAGCAAGGCTCAAATATGGTGGAAAAGGTTGCCAAAATAAAGGTTCCCACTGCTGGTTTCTATGGTGGAAAGCAGATGCATGGGTTCCGTCACGTGGAAGCAAGATTCCTGAAAAAACATATTCAAACAAAAATGGTGCTAGTATTCAGAATAAAGGCATCCATGGGAGCAAGATGCCTTCTGTCCAGGGGCGATGAGAAAATCATATTCAAACAAAAATGGTGCTAGCATGCTTTGAATTTTGGACTTCACAAGCATCTGTTGATCTTTTCAAGATACGACAAGCATGGACAGCAGAACACCATATGATCCTGCGCAAGTTTGATGGGCTTAAGTGGAATTTTGTGCAATTGTCGAAACATGTTTTTGTTTTTGGCTGATGGACCTTTAAAATTCTTTACTTTAGGAACTACTTTGGGCTAAATTTTGATGTTGAAACAAATATATATATATGTGACAAAGCTACTTAGTGATATGTATTTAGCGAGCCTTCTCATCCCAAAAAATGCGAAGTCTATAATCATTTCGTAGTTGGCATGCAGCGAAGGCAACATCCGGCAAAATCTTTAGCTAACTTTGATTTGTCAACATGATTTGCCATTCCCTCGCTGCAAACTTTGTAGCCGTCCACGTTGAAGATGTTAAAGACCTGCGTGGGCCACGCATTTTCAAGATGAGATTTAGGAAATCTCCGCGGTGGCTTTATAAAAAGGAAGAAGTGGGAGGTGATTCTCCTCTTTTCGCAAAGGATGGTGGGCCAATGGAAATGGCATGTTTTTCTCACACGCACTGCAATATATGTGTGTGTGTCTGCGTTTATACTCAAAAATTATGCTCCTCTCAAGCACAGAAAAGGGACTCTTCGAAAGTGAATGCGTGCTATCACAAGCCATGGCTGCAGCAGTGTTTTTCTTCTGGGCCAAGTCCTGACGCCACATGCATATATACGACATTAGCCTTGCACGACGGGTGCAAGATTTGCCTGGCAACACAACATGGTAAAAAATGTCATACCTCACTAAACAGACTGCTATATATATATATATATATATTTCAAAAAATGTGGACTTGCCATGGGCATTATCCCCACAAGGAACTAGGCACCGCTAAGATCCTGATTGGCGATAGCTCTTTGTAGGTGAGACAGTCTTCGATACCTTCCAAATCAAGAAGGATATCCCTGTCAGTCTTTTCAAACTCATTGCCACCTTTGGCATCCCAAATTTGGGCGCAAGCCAAATTCATATGATTGATGCTGGCAAAGAAACAAACTTTACCTACAAGGATGCCCTCTTCAGAAGGGAAGATCACAAAGTCGTCGACAGCACAGATGCAGCCCAGCTCATAGTGAGCCCGACGCGCGCACATGACCATGCCATGAAGTCCCATGGCACTCTGCAAAAGCCAGGTCAGTTTTGGATTGGCAGGGATTGGTTGGATCAAGCCAACGTGCAATTATTCAAAATCTTTGTCGCTAAGATCCTGCACGTTCATGTAAAGGACTTCTTTCAAAATCGAAGATTCAAAATTTTCACCAACTCCCCTGATGTTTTCTGCAAACTTTTTTGCCACACGATGCTTCCTTTCATGCACAAAGCATCCCACCACGACCTCGTGATGGGAAATCATCCCAGCAATATGTTGGAGGTAATGAAACTTTGGAACCCACAAAGTGTTGGAATAAGCCTGTTGGTGGGCATGGACATATACTGTGATGGAATGGGCCAAATCAGTCGCCTTCCTTCTGCCGCGTCTCACAGCTTGAAGGACATCAATCAACTCTGCTAATGCCAAATAGCTACCAACCACCTGCAGGATTTCTTGTAGCTGGGGCATCTTGATCAGGAGGAATGTACGGATGCCCATGTAAATCCCCAAACACTCTGATTCTGAGCATTTGAGGTTTCCCTCTTTTTTTTCCTGAAAACCATTTGGCCAGTTATTGATTTGGAAGCCACTGAAGATGGCCAAGTCAAGCTCTTCAAAAACTCATGGAACTCACCCTGCAGGATGCCAACTGATTTCAAATGCCCCATGAGCCCACCGACTTCCACATCGTACACCCCATTGGCAAAAAGGGTATGCATGTAATCGTAGAAAATCATGGATGCTGGTGTCAGCTCAAAAAGATTTGACATGCCATCCCCCATGAAGCCACTCGGTATATAGAGCCACCCAAGTGACTTCTCAAGCTCCTCAAAGGCGCCCTTGGAGATAGTTCCAAACGACTGGTGCAATTTGGCTATTTTAGCAAACATGGAAGCATCACTGCATCGTTGCCAAACAGCTGGGTTCACGGATGTGCTGGGCTGCAACGTTGAGCTGAACTGATGCAAATTGCTGGACTCAGCAACAATGTTGGTACACAATGGGCAAATCTGAACACCTGATGCACCTTTGAATCCAAAGGAGTCTTTCAGAGCTACTTCGTCAGCAATGAAAATTGCAAAACGGAAAAATTTGACAACGGTATTGCCACCCACATGAAGATGGAAACCACGCAGGGCATTGATAGGCTCCACAAAGAGGCTCATGGCCTTTTTGATTTATGCCGATGTTCCTCCTTTGATCTGCGACACAATGTTGGAGCGGGCTAAACCCAGGGTAGGTCATTTGCACTTTTCTCGTTGCATCGTGTCGGAGTTGGTTACCCGGCTGAATCTCATCATTGTAGATGAGAAGCCTTGTGTGCTGGGTGCACACACGTTTAGTGATTATATTTCTATAATATACATGTACTCACATATGGTTTTACGAAAAACAAAATAGAAACTTCAACCTTGAGTCTAAGTTCCCCAGTGGATCCTGTGATAGGCAACCAAAGTGCCACATTCGTTGGCCATGTCAGCCAAATCCTTTTCCCTAGCCCTCTTGATGCTGTCCTTGGATGTTGCCTTTGGCAAACCAGACCTCTTCACCTCTTGCAAGATTTCAGCTGAAGCTCTTGTGCTGACGAACTTGCGGCGCCCAAAGCTGGCAAGGTTTGCCGACATGGCGCAAATGACAGAAAATG